GTAAGTAGGAGAGTGGAGAGACTAACCATTATACGTAGAAGACTTTTGTGAGCGTGTATCCGATTGAAAATGGCTTCCCATGCGGGCGTATCCACAACCTTAGCTTCCGATATCATGTGTGCAGGCATATCTGACGCCAAATACTTTCTTGAGATTGTTGGAATAATTCGACCGGATAAACCTGCAAAAAAGCGTTAGAAAAATAATATAGCTCGAGTCGTGTAAACGCTGTCTTCAAGAAAGCATTTCCGACTAGCGAAAATCTTTCCCCAAGATAAAACGAGCTCTTCGGCGTAAGCCGGTAACAGAACAACGAGAGTGAAATAAAATAATCCAGCAGAGTTGTAATATGTTAGGGGATCTTCTACTAAAAAATAATTTTTGTCTCACACCCACCCTAGCTTGGCCGAACGTACACATATATACATACTGAAAGAGATAAACGTTGATACATGCTCGATCAGATGAAAACGTTAGACTACTAACGTACATGTTAATAAATAAGATCAAGGTTGAGTTTAATGTTGAAATATTCTTTCAACTCCCACTAACGTTAAGCAGATACGGACTATTAGTAATAAAAGCTCAAGTTAGAAAACGTTTCAAATGATCAGTTCATCATACAGGCTCAATTAAAGATTATAGCAATTGATTTTAATAATAAATAAGGATACACGTACATATGATAACTTCCCAAAGTTAATGGACATTTGTAGTGCCTAACGTTAATATTTGGAAGAAATAATAAACATTCATTAAAAATCTTTTTTTAATAGAATAAAAAATATATAATTTATAAAATTGACTAATAAAGTCATTTTCATTTGAAATACACTCAATATTTCCAACATAATTTGTCGAATTGTTTTACCATTTGCATTTTTTTTAGTTGGTCTCAACTAATAAAACAAAACATTTTAAAAAATAAAATATAAAAAAGCGTAACAAAATGTGAGTAGGAAAGTGGAAATAATTAAAGATTAAATACATACAAGTAAGTAAGTAAATAAAAAGATAATGAAATATAATTTTTTAATAAAATATTAAATGAGATGTAATCATAAAAAGGTGAATATAAAACAGGAAAAAAGAAAATAAAAAATAGAAATAATGACGAGTGCATGATTAAAATATAGGTAGTAGATAAAAATGTAACCTTTTATAATTAAGTGGTTATGAAGATAGTAATTTTAGTGATTATGATCATGTTCCATTCTATACTGTAGTGATTGTGACCGTATATTAATAAGGAGTAGCAATTTTAGTAACGCTTTTGTCCATATGTCACATTTGAATAATATTCCATGGAAAGCATATAAGAAATAGTATATCAAATACGTAGTTTCATGTATTATACTCGCAATACATACATATGTGCAATCAAACATAGAATGAAATGAAAATAATACGTAGTGTTTCAATAATGGCGAGGGTCAAATGTGTATATACGCTTTATGTCTTTTTTTTGGACAATTCTTTCTAAAAAAAGCATATAAGAAATAGTATATCAAATACGTAGTTTCACGTATTATACTCGCAATACAAATGTGCAATCAAACATAGAATGAAATGAAAATAACACGTAGTATTTCAATAATGGCGAGGGTCAAATGTGTATATACCCTTTATGTCTTTATCTTTTCAAATGTGTAAATCACTGACAATATGAAGAGTTTAATGACCTTTCCAACCGCTCCCCTCTTCCCCTCAAATCTTTCTTCTCTCTTTTCTTCGAACTCATAAACACAGTCTATGATGTGTACATGACCTTGGTTGTAGGACCAGACATTGCCCTTTGAAATTAATCACTCATTCAATTATATACTCCGTAATAGGGTTGTAAACGAACCGAATCGAGTTGAATAGCGAGATTTTGTATTTGTATTTGTTTAATTTTTTCGAATAGGAATTCGAATTCGAATATGAAACGAATATTAATTTTGATTTTTATTTGTATTTGTTTAACAATACGAATAGTTAACGAATCATAAACGAATATCGAATCGATTTGAGCATAGGTTAAATATTATTCAAATATCACTTTAAAATAACTTTTCTTATTTTTTTATGTTGTAAATACATGCTAGGACTTAATATGTGTTTTTAGAATTTAAATTTAATGGATCAATGCATTTTTAGATTGTGCACAATATACCGAAGTGAATCAATTTTATGATTAATAAATATAAATCTATTTCAAACCTTTTGAAATAAACACTAACACACATATTAGAAATTATACTTATAATGTGTGAAATAAGTTGATAATTGTATATATCAAAGTCAAACGACTCTAATTTTATTCTTCAAATCGAATACATAACTATTTGTATTGTATCTGAAAGACAATTGAACCAAAATTTTTATTTGTGTTCGTATTTATATTCTGATTTATTACAAATGTTCGGACTTGGAATCTGTATGCATAAATGTATATATGGGCTACACTTTGAGGGTATTACTATCTTTTAAAAGTTATTATAGTGTTATTACTATTATTAATATTATCATTATTTATAATCGAATATATTTGATTAATATTCAAATCAAATACACTGATATTCTTATTTGTATTTGATAACAACTCGAATCAAATTTAATATTCTTATTTGTATTTGTATTTGCATTTTCCGAATTCGAATTGTCTTATACGAATTTGAATCGCGAATCGAACACAAATTATTCGATTCATTTATAACCCTACTCCGTAATAGACTTTGGATAAGTTCAATTATGCAATAGACTTTGGATAAGGGAAAATTTTAGAAATAGCAATGAAAGCGTTTGGGAATTCTAAAATAAGACTATCATGTTTTCATTCCCTAAATAAGAAGAATTAGTGTTAGATTTGAAAAATATATTCACGTTTAAAATCTGGATTGTCAAAAATGCCAGTAGTTACTATATTTATGGAATAAAAATATGATAATTGTATTTTAGAATACATAAATGTTTTTATAGGCAATTTTACTTCGGACCGGCATATAACCTCAAAATGTTTGATTGTGAGTTCGAAAATTTTAAGAAAAACGTGCGAGACATCTAACTTGTTAGGTCTAGGCATTCTAGATTTTTTTTAATCATGTCTAGACATTCTAGATTAAAAAGTATAATAATAATAAGCGAAAAGGTGCAAATAGGCCCATGTACTAACAAAAAAAGGTCAAATAAACCCTTATTTAGGAGGCTCTGTCCGGACGTCGCCATTTGGGGTGGTTCCCGTTGGAATTTTTTAATGAAATTTTTTGAGCATCTTATTCAATAAGTCTAGTTTACTCATACCAAATGTCAACTAAAACTTCAATCGGGAAGGCATTTAAATGAATTCTTGAAAATAACTGCGCAGTTAGAAGCGCAGTTACCTTCAAGAATTCATTTGAATGTCTTCTCGATTGAAGTTTTAGCTGAAATTTGGTATGACTAAACTAGACTTGATGAATATGATGCTCAAAAAACTTCATCAAAAACTTCCACCAGGAACCATCCCAATTGACGACGGCCGGACAGAGCCTCCTAAATAAGGGCTTATTTGACCTTTTTTTGTTAGTACATGAGCCTATTTGCACCTTTTCCCCCAACAACAACAACAACAACAACAACAACAACAACAACAACAACAACAACAACAACAACAACAGCAACAACAACAACAACAACAACAACAACAACAACAACAACAACAACAACAACAACAACAACAACAACAACAACAACAACAACAACAACAACAACAACAACAACAACAACAACAACAACAACAACAACAACAACAACAACAACAACAACAACAACAACAACAACAACAACAACAACAACAACAACAACAACAACAACAACAACAACAACTGCTCATGTATGTGATGGTTTGAGAGTTGTTTCTAAATTTTTTTTGTATTATTAGACATTGTCAACTTTGGTTTAATATCAAAATAAGAAAAATAAAAAAATATATTTGTGACATTTGTATAAAGAAGTAAGAACTAGTTCCAAAACAGTTCAAGTATATCAAGCCTAGGTGAGGCAGTGATTAAGAGCCAACTTATATGATGCATAAGCTAAGAGCCAACTTTTTCACTACACACTAATTTTTAATTTCACGTGATGTATTGTGTAATCATATATTTTAAGTATAACTTTTACATAAAAATTAGTAGAATCAACCAATCTAGTAGATTCAGCCAGAACTTTATAAATTTCAGTAGAATTAGCCGATTAATCCGATTTTGGTATTACCAAACGGGCTCTAAACACGTTTTTCACCTAGTTTTTCGGCTCATCAGGCTTATCGGCTAACTTTTTCACCAAATACGTAATTTTTTATTTCGCGCGATGAATTGCGTAATAATAGGAAAAAGTACGGTTGGAATTACTTTTCTAACTGTATTGGCTGAAGTTACTTTAGAGAACCATTTTAGCTATTTTTACATATAATTTTTTCTTTATTGTATTACTAAAATATATCTTAAATATAATTTTTGAATAAATGAGTTGCATCACTCAATTCAGCCATTTCAACCAGAATTTCATATATTTCAGCAGAATCAACTATTCATCCCATTTGCTTTTGGTATTAAGGGCTCTAAGAGGCCGTTTGACAACACTGTTTTTTGGCTTATCAGGCTTATCAGCCAACTTTTTTACCAAACATGTAATTTTTGCTTTCGCGCGCTGAATTGTGTAATAAGAAAAAAAAAAAAGTAAGATTGGAGTTACTTTTCTAGCTGTATTGGCTGAAGTTAATGTATATGATTATAACCAAGCATTCCAGCCCAGCTGGTTGTGAGGTTACTGTGCCTAGTGGGAGTTCTCGTGTACGAATCCCGCTAGGCATACAAGGGTTGGAAACTCAATGGAGTGAGTTTCAGCCCTGATTACTCCAGACCCCCCTGGAGTAAAAAAAAAGTGTAGACGATTATTTTCGCTATTTTTACACATAATTTTTTTCTTTATTTTATTAATAAAATATATTTTAATTTTTTTTTCTTAAATAAGCAGAATCACAGGAGTCCATACTGGAATCAGCCAATTAAACCTTTGGAAGTCATAGAACACACTTCTGTCGGAAAATGACCGGAGCTCTGAATTCCTAGGAAAAGCATGAAATCAATCGATTTCCTTGGACTTGAGCACAGTCACAAATTAACCAGTTTGCTTGAGAAGTTGCGTGTGAATTGAATAACAGCCCCGGAGTGGTCCGAGTGGACAAGCTGTTGCATTTGCCGAGAATATTTTCCCCAATATAATCAGGGGAACATACTTCTGAGGAATCAACATTTTGCTGTTGTGCTCCTCAAAATACTTTCTTTGTGTGTGTGTGTGTTGCAGAAAATGGATAGTGGTAACATAAAAAGTGGCGGTGGCATGGACGAAACATTGCTGGATGGAAAGCTGCACCGTCAAGTCACTACTCTCATTGTTGCCCATCTTCTTGAGAACAATTTCAATCAGGTACTCTTCATCTATTTTTCTTCTGCATTTTCTAAAAATTGAGAAACTGGTCTCTTTGTGGTCATTGAGAAAATTGATCCATTGTATCTTCAGTGAGATATGGTATATTTAATGGTTCAGTGACTTCAGTCTAAGGGATGCTCGGCATATTTGATACTGGTTAAACATTTAATTAACGAATTTTATGATGTAGGCATGTCAAGAGATGGTCTTTATTCTGGGCATTTGCAGAGTATTGGCATTGCTATGTTAGACGAGAAAGTTGATTTTGAACTAAAATCGAATTTTGTAAATGTCAGTCCTAATTCTAAGTTGTGGAGTGTGGTGTCTCAAGAGTGATCACAAAATTGAGAATTTCAATTTAGAAGATGGTAAAAGAAGACGAACAAAATTGGAAAAGGTTGGAGCAATTTTACATGGTTTCACTCAATGTGGGTTATATCCACAAAGGAAGATGGCCATAATTTTATTAGGAGAGGAAATGCAACAAAGTGTTGATATGACAAAGCGTAGATGATTAAACTATGTTATTTTCTTAACGGAATAATAGTGAGTAATGATTGTTAGCAATAAAATGATTAAGATGCACTATTTGTAATTCAGCATCTTTTAATATATTGGTTTTAGCAACTACTAGAATTAATCATACCGTGCACTACACACGTGATCTTGTCACATGAATAAATATTTATGGGGATTTTATACCAGATAATTTTTCATGCATTACCGAGCTTGAAAACTTGGTAAAATGATGATGATGGAAATATTATTCATACAATGATAGAAGTAATAATAAGGAATAATAACAGTGAGAATATAGTAACTATAAAAACAAAAATGAAGCTGGTGACTAGTTTTATGAAATATAACATTATTCTGGTTTAATATTAATTTCTCAGGTCTAGTCAGATTGGAATGTTTCTGAAGTATAATCTTTTCAGTCTGGTCAGAGTCCTTCTCATGTGGTTTGATCTGGACCGAATCTTTATGATTTGTTAGAATAATAAGAACAAGTAATAATGAGGAAGATCGAATTTGTGGTGAACAGAAGCAACACCGTACTCTTTGATAGGCATTAGGCACAAGGTGTGACTCTCATAACTTTTATTTCCCTCAAACAAAATTGTCTTACAGAAAGAAGAAAAGTTGTGTCACTCCCATTGTTACCCGATCAAAGTGCATGTGTCAAATGGAGGGTGCCAAAGTGATTTTAGTTAGCACTTCTTGACCTAAAAATAGGATGGCAACCACAATGGCACCAATATCACCACTGCATGGGTAATGTAATTACCTATGGCAATGTTGACACACAAACCACAGGCAATATCACATTCCATGTGACACAGTACCAGTGATAATAAGATCACTGGTAAAATGACTCCAACCAAATAGCTCATATAAGGTTGGTATATGTGGATTAATTGAAACTGTCAATCTGAAATAATAGAATTTACTGTCCGTGTTTTCAGGCTGCGAGAGCTGTTGCATCAGCTACAATGACGCCATTGACTGTTGAAGCTCCTCGTAATAGGCTACTTGAATTGGTTGCAAAGGTATATGGTTTTTATTGGATCCTCAGTGTTTTCATCTCATTATTAGAGTAGGGAAAATAGATTAAAAAAATCAATCATTATGTTATAACTGGCTAACAGGGTCTTGCAGCTGAGAAGGTTGAAATGCTGAATGGAGTTTCTTTAGCTGCACCATTTGATCCAACTCTAGCTGATGGATATGGCTCCATACTAGCTCGTCGGGCAACTTTGGTTGATTTTAGGTTATAATTTCCACCAAACCGAAGCATATTTGAACTGGCTATGAACTGTGTTTTTACTTCTATATGTTTTCCGTGTTGGTTTGTTTACGATAGCTGATGTTCTGATACTGTGTGCTTCTTCCTAAACAGTATTGCACATGATACCAAAGGGTCTTCAAAAAAATTTCCCAAACATGAAGTTCGACATATTTCTGAACACAAGGTGTATGACTTCAGCAAATTGTTGTTTCTAAAGTTGACTTCATCTTTGATTTACTGCTTTATTTATTTGACACCGTATCTGATGTGATGGCATGTTACAACTTACAAGATGATTTTTGCAGGACATTGCTAGATGTGCGAGATTTAGTTCTGATGGTAGGTTTCTTGCTTCTGGAAGTGCAGACTCATCAATCAAACTCTTTGAGGTACTGTCCTCTTTGTTATGTTTATCATCTTTTTTTATCTTAAACTTTCTTTTTGGCTCTTGTGATATGCAACCTTTGGTTTTAGTTCCTATAATCTTCCTGTGAAGGTTTCAAAAGTCAAACAAATGTTGCAGCCAGAGACAAAAGATGGCCAAGTGAGGCCAGTTATACGAACATTTTATGATCACACGCAGGTAGATTTTGATTGGAAGATTTGGAACTTCTGCAATGCTTAGTGCTTACTGCTTACTATACCGACTGCTGAGTTTTGAGCTCTAGTTGACACATTAGTTTACATATGGATTTCTGTATGCATTTCCCCAAACTATCCTTATTTCAGCTCAAGCTATAGAAATCTGGGATTTTGTTTTTGTTTGTTTTTCTTTCCTTATTTCCAAACCATCCATATTGATGCTCTGAAGGATTTCAGGCTGATTCGTAGCAAAACTAAGTATACGGAGTGTGAGTTTGGTGGAGGTAGAAGCAATGGTAACAGTGGGATTATCGTGGACGGTAAGGATTAAAGGGATACCGGTCAGTGATATGTTTCGTTACCTAGACTCCATAATTTGGAAGGACAGTGAACTAGATGGAGATGTATATCATAGAATCAGAACATAGTGAATGAAATGGAAGATCGAGTCATGATTTCTATGTGATCAATGTATGCCGACTAGATTGAAGGTAATGTTTTATCGGGCAGCAATTAGGCTTGCATCACTGTATGGCATAGAGTGTTGGATGATGAAATAATTTCACATTCAAAAGATGAGTGTGGTTGTGATGCACATATTGTGTTGGATGTGTGAACATATTAGGAGAAACCGTTTAAGGAATGAGATAATCAGACAAAAAGTGGGAATAGTTTTCGGAAGATAAGACCGAGTGATGCACCCGAGTTGAAAGGTGTGGAGAAGATACAAAGGTGTCTTCGATTGAACGTGCATATGACTTTAGAGAGAGCGAAGTGGAGGCAGTATATTCGCGTGGAGGATTGATCTCTTTTCATCTTTTTTATCTTTCTAATGTTCTTTATCTTTTATATCTTTATATCTTATCTTTTTTATCTCTTTATTTTTCATTTTATCTTATTTTTTAATCTTTGTTCTAATAACATGAACCGACACATAAAATTGGAACTAAAAAATGATAACAATGATATTTTGTTTCAGTTTTTTACCATTATACCATTTTCTTTACAATCAATCATCAAATTGACTTGCCCTTTATTCAATGAGTGTAATTTACTATTCCATGATTCAAGGGTGGAGCTAAATGCTCCTGGACACAGTAGTTCAACATTTCATCTGTGTTTTATGGTTATGGTTTTAACCAAAAAAACCAGAAAGAAGGAAAAAGTTGTTATTATTGGATCTGGGTATATTACATGTTGATACTTGGTACTCTATCCATCCCAAGAACAACTTCCCATTTGCTTTTGGGATGACATTTAAGAGAATGGAATTTCATGGTTAAGATTTAATTTATTTAGAAAGGAAAGAAACAATATCAACAACAAAATTTATCCTTCAAAGGAATGGAAAGATAATATTTGGACAGATGCAAAAGGAATGCAGGAAGTTTTTCGGGACGGATGTAGTGTTTATTACTCCTGTCCCATTCTAAGGTTCTCTCTTTCCTTTTTTGGGACGTCCCAACTACCCTATTTCTATTTTATGAAACGATTAACACTCTTAAGTGACTATTTAATCATCAAGTATTAAAATTAATACATCTATAACATCACAGTTATCATCAATGACCCGATTATGTTATATATCCATCAAAATTATTTTTCAAAGTATACTCAAATTATCTTATTTAATTATTATCTAAACAATCGTGCCATTTTGCCATCAGTACCTTTAACCGCGACGGAGGTAGTATATCTCATGGTGAATTAGTGGATATTGTGTTTCCCATTATGAAGTCGTTGGGTCTCAACAAATCAATAGTCATAACCCTCAGTTAAGATTATGGACTTTGTAGCACCTGGAGTTTCCCTGCTTACCTACTTTTTTTGCATCTGCAGCCAATTAATGATTTAGATTTTCATCCTCGAAATGCAGTTGTGATATCTGGGGCAAAAGATCACACCATCAAGTATGAGTTCGTTTTCCAGTATATGCTTCTAGTGTGTTTTATTTCTCACTAGTTGCTTGCTAAATACTTCCACTATTTGTTTAGGTTTGCTTCTGAATTTTCAACACAGTCTAATTTTGAGCTACGTTGTAAAGCATCTTAGATTATACTTTGATCTTTATTCTCAAGACAAGTATGATTTAGTGTGTAGTAACTAGTAAGTATAGAGTTTTTAATAATGGCAAATTCTACACATATACACAAAGAAGTTGACAACAGGGATATTAAATGTATAATTGAAATATTGAATTAGATAGATATGGAGAATAATTTAACTGTAATGATCCTCTGGGACTTCATCAGTTATGAGTTATGAGTTATGAGTTATGAGTAAGTAATCACACTTCCTGATATAAAACATCAAAGCTGCCATTTATTATGCACTAAAGTTCTTTCTTTCTTGTAGGTTCTTTGATTTTTCAAAAGCAGTAGCAAAGAGAGCTTTTAGAATTATTCAGGTTTCTTGGGCTTCTTTGTCTATTTCAACATGTTTTTTAAGAAACATAGATAACATGTTTCTATTTGATTTATTATGGTCCCTTACATCAAAGTGTGGGTCTTTATTGTATCAGGATACTCATAATGTGAGGTCTGTGTCAATTCATCCTTCAGGAGATTATCTTCTGGCAGGCAAGTAAAGTTATCTCCAAATTTTACCATGACAGGAAAGAAATTTGATAAGATGTATGAAGAATGGATTAAGGCTCTGACTTCAGAAGTTTAAGTTGTGAACCATAGTTTGTGGATAATTGGAAATGACTTCAACTTTTGAAAAGAAGTTAAAGAGCGAGTTGAAAAAGGAACTCTTTTTCCACATAAATGCAAGAACTCATGGAAAACTTTTTCATGAGGATGTTTTCTGCTCCCAAATACAGCATAAACCAAAAAGTATTTTCCTGCATTCACAGAGAATATGCTTTATAGTTTAATAAATGAAAGAAATATTAAGTGATTAGTGACTTCTACTGCTGCTAGGAAGTAGAAACCATTAAGGATCTTCAAACTGAAGACTAGACCTTTAGATGCCGTCCACTAAACAAGTCGACTATAGAGCAAGAGTATTCTTATTCTAATGTAGGGTTAGAGTTCAGACTCAAATACTTCAGACTTTGGAGGGGTTAAAAATAAAATTTTGTATAGTTCTTACTCTCATAGTTAGGTAGAGCTGTTAAAGTGGTGTCTTTTTTCAGAAATTGACATCTGACAAGGGTCAATGGGTACTTACAGGAACTGATCATCATATCCCTCATCTGTATGATATCAATACTTTTCAATGTTACCTGTCTATGAGTTTCCAAGACACTATTGGTAATGGAGCAATAAATCAGGTAGTGAGTTTGGTGTTTGTATTTTATAATGTGTAAACCATAAAAGTTAATTAGTTGACCAACTCTTCTCTTTATCAGGTTAGATATTCACGAAGCGGCGGTATGTATGTAACAGCATCCAAAGATGGTGCTATTCGGTTTTGGGATGGTGTGACTGCCAATTGTGTTCGATCCATAGATGGTGCACATGGAACGATGGAAGTTACAAGTGCAAACTTTACAAAAGATCAAAGGTACAGATACATTTAAGCACTAGGACCATATTTCATCTTAAGGTAGGGAGTTTCATGAATTTGGAGTTTGATATGATATGTTGCCTCCGTCCCATAAAACTTAGCCATATTGACCTTTCTTGGTAATAATGATCAAGTTTGACTAACTATGTTTTTTAACACTAAATAATTTAAAATATGAAAATTATATAAAAATGTTTTTTGTTAAAAGTATTTTCATAGAAGTATACAAGAATAAAAGATAAATTTCACACAAATATAATAATTAAAATCAATGTTCAAAGTTTATTACCTTGACCAAGAAAAATCATTACCAAAGTTTAGTGGGATGGAGGAAGTAGTAGTCTTTTTTTATTAAAGAAATGCAGTCAAATAAGAACAAGATGGGAGAAAGAAAGAGAAGTGATTTATGGTTACCACGGATGTTATAACACTTATTTGTCTTCTTTGCCCTAATCTTCTCCTTGAGCTATAACGAACATTACGAATGAAGCAGAGCTTCAGAATTAGTATACTTTAGTGTCTTCATAATTTGTTCCTGCTAACTAGGGCCTCTTTTCTTGAGTAAGGCAAGCCCAAGTGAAATGCAACAGTATAGCAGTGTTATATTTGGACCAAGTTACCAATAGATTTTATTTATGTACTGAGCAAATGACATGAAGATTATTCTTTTAGGTATGTTCTTTCTTGTGGAAAGGACTCTTCTGTGAAGCTTTGGGAAGTTGGAACAGGAAGATTGGTCAAGATGTATCATGGAGCTATACATAGTCAGTTGCGATTCCAGGTAAATGGCTGCTTAACATGACAGTTTTTGAAGAAAATCTAAGCTTGTGTCTGCTTCTGTACAGAACAACCCCTCTTATTAGGACATGCATAAGCTTCTTCATTGTGATTTCTATTAAAACTTCTTGGTGGCTTGAATCTGACATTTTTCAGTTTAAATCGGTACTGCTGTTGAGTTAAAATAATTGAATCCAGGTGCCATATATCAGTCAGCATAGATATTTTGGTTTTTCATTCTTGAATTAGGTCTACAACCAAGCTGTTAATGCTCTACAAACAGTATATACATTCATTGTTCCTTTATTCTTGAGTAGACGTGTGTTCATTGATCGATGTGTTTGATGCAGGCTGTGTTCAATGATACAGAAGAATTTGTACTATCCATAGATGAATCGAGCAATGAGGTTAGTTTTGATTCTTCAACTTTTGAATCTGAACAAGTGTACATCCAAAGGTATTTAATAGTTTAACATTGGTCACAGATTGCCATATGGGATGCTCTGACTACCGAAAAAGTGGCTAGATTGCCCTCCACGCACGTTGGTACTCCTCGTTGGATTGAGCATTCTCCGACCGAGGCTGTATTTTTTTCTTGTGGGATCGACCAGTCTGTACGGTTCTGGAGAGAAGCAAGTTAGTGTTTTCTGAAGAAGCACCAAATTGATATCTTGGGACTCCAACCATGCCTGTCAGATGGAGAGCAGGCGGAAGAAAGAAACCTCAGCTTCAAGATAATGAATTGTTTCAACAGACTTACTGTCATGCTGGAGCTTCGATATATTAATCATGACATTTTCCTTTTCTCACCTAGCTTAGCTGTATTAGGGTTGTGATCAAGATTAAGGTAATATTTGCATGGCATGGTTACAAGTGATTTGTTCTAGAATTATAGTGAAAAATGCTTAATTTTATACGATAGCAGTTTTTGGAAATAAAAGCAATTTTTAACTTTTTCTTTCTTGTTTCTTTTACCAGTCTTAATTTTCTTTTTCTTTCTCGAGACTTTCTACTTTCTTTATGGATTCTTCATGAGGATAGAACCACCGACAGAATCATTAGATTTCTTCAAAATGACGTTGTCCGCAAAGACATGTATCATTGGCGACGACAGCAAGCAATTTTTTTCCATTCACGGCTGTTAAACGGACTTCCCCTGGAACTGCTCATTTATGTTACACAAAACCTCAACAAGGGCCTTGATGAAGGGTCTAGACCTCACGGCAGCCCCTTGAGCTCTCCGGACCTTTGCAGCGGCAACCAATTTCATCAACTTTGTGACTTGTTGCATGCTTTTTGCCGCCTTTATTCTTGACCAATATTGCAGCAAATGTGACACGATGGACAGTAGCAGCAGCGTGCAACGGAGAAGCTAGCCACAAGTCCTAGGGGTGGACTCCGGCCGGGTGGCCCGACCTGGAAACGGCCCGGCCCGGCACTGTTCCGGCCCGACCCGCTGGGGGTCCGGTCCGGGCTCGGGCCCCCCAAATCACGAACCGGCCCGGCCGGTTCGGGCCCGGTTCCGGGCCTTTTTAAATTTTTTTCCAATTTTTTATTTTTTATTTTTTGGGTTGGGCTGGGTATTTTGGGCCATTTGGGGTGGTTTGGGGGTGAGGGGGAGGGTTGGGGGTTAACTAGAAAAAGAGAAAATAATAATAATAATAATAACTAAGGCCTGAGGTCCGGCCCGGAACCGGGGATTACCTGGGCCGGTTCCGGGGCCCCCATTCCTGAACCGGAGGCCCGACCGGGCCTAGGCCCGGCCCAGGCCCGGCCCAGGCCCGAACTGGCCCGAGTCCACCCATAGCGACAACACATGTTGAGTTTATTGTTGGACTCGTCGTCATCCATCCCTTGTGGTCTCCGGTGAGTCTGGATTGAAGAAGATTGCAGCACCCAGTGGAATCCAGCGAGCTCGTCGCCACCTGCCCCCTCCCTCAATGTCGAATATCTACCGCCCGACTGTCCCTTTCTTGTCGGAAATCACTGTCGAGCCATCCCTTCCAGCCTCCATCCACATACCCTTTGTCCCTTCAATTCCTTGCTAGATCTTGAAGACTAAGCTTTTAGTAGACTAGTATAAAAAATCATTTACAAACTATTCAAATACTTCCTAAAAAGTCATGACCACAAAGTTCAAAAACTATCTTTTGGCGTACCTATTACCTAACATGAACGTAGCATTTTACATTTATTCTTCCAACCATATCATCGGAAAATCAAACACGCTTGCTTCCACTGTTCCACATAGAGGTAGTAATAGTTTTAATTCTAGGAGTTGTTGAATCTATTTTTTATGGTAGGAGTTGAAATTAATCAAATTATTAGAAATGCATGTTGTAAATAAAAAAAATATACTGGCATTTTAAAGCTTAAAATCGCAAAAATATACTTGAACATTGAAATAACAACCCAGGTTTTATTTGAAGAGGAGCAAAATTTTGCAATAACATGATAATTCAGTTAACTATCTAGCATATACGAGTATAAATTATATGTATGTACATCAAAACACATTTATCTTCCTTCGTGCTATCCATTTCCTTTTACAATTTCTCATTGCCTTCTCCCTGATCCTCATGAGTTCACGGCAAAATTGCTGATACTGCATATCAAAAGCCTCCATTTCTAGCTTTACTAAACCTTTGTTATCATCCTTCTCTGCTACAGAGAGGCATGACATGCCTGAAGTAACACTCTTCTGCAAATTTTTTGAGCATTCACCACGCCCTTCGTCAACCCGTTCTTTGGATACAAGGGCCAATTCATCAATACGTTTATTCTCACTTGGTGTCGGAGGAAAGACACTCTGCTCAGTAGTTCCTTTGCCAACAACCAGTTCTGATTCACCCCTCTCAGAAGAGACTGCCGAAATGGAGTTATTATGTGCACTGTTTACGGCAGCCAAACTGGTACGTGATTGCTTCCATATTGGTACAAGTCTTGAAACTAAGCTATCAATCATGTCAGCTATTACTACCACATCTTCACTTGCTAACTCAAGTTGCTCTACCATCTCACCAGCAATTGTGAGAGCCGTGTCAATTTCAAGGTAGAACAGGAAATCAATATGCCTTGTGTTCCCCCCAAAGTCAGCAATGCGGAGGCTAAATGAAATTGAATCTCCGTCACACTTCTCTCCTTTTAGCTTAAACTCATTCTTCTTATTGCATCTAAGGAATTCCAATGTTTGGGGAGCTCCAATGTCCTTTGATAGCGATTCAAGACTTGACAAACTTACAGATCTCGACATGGAGGTGGAGGAGTTCAACGAAGTGTCAGAAAGGAACGGGTCTTTCAACAGCTGTGCTGCACTTGGCCTTTGAGAAGCCGGGACCAAGCATTTTTCTATAAATCCTTTTGCTTCTAAATCTTTAACTTTATCTAAAGCAGCTGGCTTTATCCCTGATGTTACTTTTTTAAATATGTGTGCCACAGTTTTACACTCACTGTAAGGGTATTCACATGTTATCAGCTCCAATAAGCACATGCCAAAAGAGTAAATGTCAATAAGGTTGTCATACTGTTCATCGTACAGCTCAGGCGCCATAAATTCAGGAGTACCCACAACGCTTCGGGCGGTAGGCTGCGACATGATTGTAGCCAATCCGAGATCTCCAATTCTAACTTCCCCGCTGTTCCCATTAATGAAGATATTATCACACTTCAAGTCTCTGTGGATAACAGGAGGGTTCTGACTGTGAAGGTAATGCAAACCTTGGAGAATCTGCCTTGCCCAGTTCTTGATGGCCTTCATATCAACCAACTTATGTTTCTTCCGATATTGCCTCAAGCTTCCAGAGCAGAACAATTCGGTGATAGCGTTAATCGTTTTCTTCTGGTTATCAATCCAGATGCAGTGTGATTTTATGATGTTCTCATGCTTCAAGGATCTCAACAAGTGAATCTCAGTGTTCAATCTTTCCATATCCTCTGGAGACTGTAATGGGCCATCTAAGCGGATTTGGCTCCATGCAACCTCAATTCCATCAGTTTCATCGAACGCCTTATACACAGTTTTGGATGCTCCTCTACCCAGGATTTCATTATACCGGATGTACCGCTTGTTAGGGGATACTTCGACCACGTCATCTGACTCGGAAGCGTCGGACTTTCCTTTCCCTCCTGTCGAAGCAAACGCATCTCCTGATGTCGGGAAATCCATCTCCGCAGCAGGCTTCAATTCTCGGAAGACGAGCAAAACGATAGGGAAACAATCTACCAAAAATTGGGTGTCAGAGAACGAGATGTTCAGAGTACGCTTCACACGCTACTGAATATGAATCAACCGCACTTCCCAACAGGTTGATATGTCCAGAAATTGAATTCGCAGTTCGATTTGCGGTTCTTAACATATTCTCCCTCTTTGACGATTCAAATTCTGACTTCTAGCCGCAAACACGCGGATTGAGCAGTAAACCAGTGAAAGAAACAAGTAGGGCACGAGCACCTGGAGACGAGAGAGACGAAAGAGACAAGAGGGTTTAGGGTTTGGAGCGAAGCTTCAAATTTGAGTTGATCGGAGAGAGGGTATTTATTTATTTGTAACTAAAATTGGAAAGAAGAATTTGCAAAAACATTTAGGGCGTTGCTTTGTGCACTAGGGGGTAAACGAATTCAATTGAATAATGATGAGATTTTGTATTTGTATTTGTTTAATTTTTTCGAATACGAATTCGAATTCAAATATGAAACGAATATTAATTTCGATTTGTATTTGTATTTGTTTAACAATACGAATACTTAACGAATCATATACGAATATCGAATCGATTTGAGCATATGTTAAATGTTAGTGAAATATCACTTCAAAATAACTTTTCGTATACTCCATATTGTTTATGTTGTAAATGCATGATATGGCTTAATATGTGTTTTTAGAATTTAAATTTAATAGATTATTGCATGGAGCCAAAGACTCACTATTTTTTGACTTGAGAATATGATGGAATAAAGTAAAATGGCTCACTAAACTGTTTGCGCTTCTTTGTTATGAAGTAACAGTCAGTCTATGCAATTTTCGACGCGTTTTTCACTATGGGTCATTCGGGAACAGTCTCTCTGTGCGTTAGTACAGGGGTAAGACTGCGTACATCCGACCCCCCCTTATCTCATCGTAGGTGGGAGGAGCCTTTGCGGCACTGGGGTAATGATGATGATGATGATGATGATGATGATCATTGCATTTTTTTATGGTGCACAATATATATACTAAAGTGAATTAATTTTATGATTAATAAATATAAATCTATTTCAAACTTTTTTAAATAAAAACTAACACACACGTATTAGAAATTATACGTATAATGTGTGATAAAGTTGATAATTGTATATACGAAAGTCAAATAACTCTAACTTTATTCTTTAAATCGAATATATAATTATTTGTATTGTATTTGAAAGGCATTTGAACAAAAAAAATAATTTGTATTCGTAATTATATTCTGGCTTATTAAATGGGCTTGGAATCTGTATGCAAAAATGTATATATGAGCTACACTTTGAAAGTATTGCTATCTTTTAAAAGTTATTATAGTGTTATTACTATACCACTATTAATATTAATATTAATCGAATATATTAATATATTGATATTAATATTACCATTATTATTAATCGAATATATTTGATTAATACTCGAATCGAATACATTAATATTCTTATTTGTATTTGATAACAACTCGAATCAAATTTAATATTCTTATTTGTATTTGAATTTTCCTAATTCGAATTGTCTCATACGAATTCGAATCGCGAATCGAGCACAAATTATTTGATTCGTTTACAACCATATAGCGCACCCCTAATTTTACTTAATCTAACCTTGATCAGACCAATTTGTCCTCTTGCATATACTCCGTAATCCTTAACTAAAATTGCCATCTTTCACAGTTCAAACCTTCATTAAGCCATAGACTATAATTAAAATGGCCATCTTTCACGGTTCTCAATCCAAATAATT